TAGAGAGAGAGAGAGAGAGAGAGAGAGAGAGAGAGAGAGAGAGAGAGAGAGAGAGAGAGAGAGAGAGAGAGAGAGAGAGAGTACCTGAGTTGTGCTGCCTGGCAGCCATAGCCACCATAGCTGTGTACATACGAATTCGATGTATAAGTCACTGATTTCCAAATAATTCTCAAAGTTCTTATATCTCGTGCTGGTTTCTATTTCTGATGGGAACTTTCATGTGAAACGGTTTTCACCTTTTAGCAGTAGCGGATGCAGTACTCAGGGTTCGATCCCTAGACCTCACCCATGTACAGTACCCGTGTAGACCCCGAGAATTGAACCTGTGACCTGTGTATTCATAGACAGTTGGTAGGCCTGTCATAGGTCCATAGGCAGCAGGGGTTCGATCTGTAGGTCTATAGCTTAGGAGTCTTAGTGAGTTCCGAAAGCTTAGCTGTAGACCTTCTAGAAGGTAGGCCAGTGGGCAAGTGGTCAAGTGGTGAGGCAAGTGGTGGACTAAACCACAGTGCAACAGCAGTACAACGTCGGTAGGATAGCGGTGAGTCCACAGTCAGTCAGCGAAAGGTCCAGTCAGTCCCAGTCCGGTCCAGCAAGTACCACAGGGGGACTGTGAGCACCAAGGGCCGAKGGCAAAGGGCAGACCAACGAGTTTCTGAAGTATACATCAAGAGGCAGCGCCCAACCATTCATTCATTCCTGCGTGAGCCATGCGGAAGCGCTGCCACAGCGACTTGTGCAAGGAGGTCTGCAGATGAGTTAGTATAGCGATAGGTTAGTGGCAGCCATAGCTGCCATAGCTGTAGTTAGTAGGAAGTGTGTGTGTGTGTGTGTTCGAGTGTTAGAGTGATGCGTGTGGGATATCCAGGGTGATCCAGTGTGTGTAAACAGTGAGTTGTGTGGGCGCTGAAGTCGCCATAGCTAATTGAGAGTGAACTCGTATCTTGAAGCCATATCTCTGAGTTTTGTTTGGGCGCATAGTGAACTCGTATCTTGAAGCCATATCTCTGAGTTTTGTTTGGGCGCATGTCGCCAGTATGATGCGTTGCTGTTTACATGCATGAAGAGTGTGTTTGAGAATGAGTCTGATTGCACTGGTATCGGAGCTGGTACCCTCTATTCCACGCGCGCCGTCATATGCAGGGCCTGATGCGCCATAGCCGAGGTGGTAGTCAAAGGAGATAGTCCGCCATAGCGGACCCGAGGTTGAAGAAGCCGCCGCGCACCTGCAAGTAGACCACGACGAGGAAGAAGACCGAGACAAAGAGAGAGAGAGAGGGAGAGAGAGATGAGCGATACAAGATTGGGTTACACGTACCTGCTGCGCTCAGGATACCGCTACGGCGAGAGAGAGA